TTTAATATATCACACCTAAGTGGAAAAATCAAGAGATTATTTTGTAATTTTCTCTAGAGATTTGAACTTTCATCGTCTAGACAAACAACCATTATAATTACTAAGAAGTTTTATTATAAATCTCCTTTTCAAATGACAAAGGTCACGACTACAACTTAAATTCAATTTATTTATAATTAAAAACTACAAAAACCTCAATTCATTTTGATGTTAAAATTAAATTACAAGTATAAAAGAAAAGTGATCTCAGTTTTTAGGAGAAGTGGTCTTAATTAATTCCTTTCTAATCCTATAATTTCGTGAACGGGTAAAGAGTATTAAATTATTTATAAAAAATGATTTTATTTACAACCAGCTTTTGAGAAAAGAGGTATCTATAAAATACTAATACTTATAGTCACTTGAGATTTATTTTATGTATATTATATGGAACTACTAATTTTTAAATTTATATCTACATATGGTTACTCAATTGAAAATGGATACAAAATTTTTAATTGCTTTTCAAATTAGCAAGCATATATATATTTTAAAAATAAAAGACGTTATATTTACTCCAAAACTATATCTTATTAAAACTACAACATTTTTATAATGAAATGTCTCAGATAAAAGTGAAAAGAAACATTGAAGTGTTAGAGGAAAACTATGAAAGATATTATATTAACATATCATACATAAAAACTTATCACTTCCTAAACCACACATATTGTATATGTATATAGTTAATAGCAAGAACTTTTTTTAACAAGCTGTTATTATTAGTAGTTAAATTAAAATTTAAAATATTTTAATATAATAAAATAAGAATTCTATTATAATAATTTCAAACGACAATTTAATTATTTAATCCCTACTAATATTATAAATGCGAAAGTAACTCTGTCTGTCTGTTACGCATTCACGCCTAAACCACTGAACTGATTTTAATGAAACTTTGTACAGAGATAGAGTTGAACTTGAGAAAGAACATATGATAGTTTTTATCCGAGACTTTTGAAAGGTTCTCTTGAAAACGCAATATAACCGAAATCCACGCGGGCGAAAGCTAGTCCTTCAAAGTATATAAAGTATAAAAAAAACACAGAGAAAACAAACTGAGTTTGAAAGTTTTATTTCTTATTAAGACGAAATTATTTTACTACATATTTTTTCTCATTTTATTATTCGCTTACACGTTCTAACTCTGTAGTTAAAATAAACCTCAATAACGCGAATTCATCCACCAGACCGAAACATTTATTTACACTTTAACGACTTACAACATGGAAGCCAATTTCGTGGTATTTGATAAATCGCTAAATTTCCGGCTTTTGAGAGGACACTAAATACCTTTGAAAAAGGTCGCTACAACAATTACCTGTCCAAATGATACCCGTGTCAAAAATAACCGTTAACCCTTCAAATATATTATAAGAATAGCTTTTAAAAGACTAAATTGGCCGGTGTATTTTATACTTACACGTGTTGTGATACACCATCCTCTGAAAGGAATTCAGGGATATTTGAATCGAAGGCTGCATGAATATTCAAGAGTATACGTAGAGTTTACGTCTGTTTTGGACCCGATTTGGCTCGAAATACCCAAATATGATCCGGACCTAAAGCCTACCCTGTGTCCCATTTATATATTGTTCTCAACGTCAATTGTATACTATCTTCGATCTCTTACTCAAATATTCTACTATTTTATAAATAGTTAAATGTTTATAATATTATATTCTTCAATTCTATTCAGAGTGATAATGCTGAATACATCGTCTAACCAGTATCAAAGCTCAGTCTAGACTTCTTTGAATCTGTAAAGAGCGTTGATCACTCCATAAACCTATTATCAAGATCTGTTCCTTCAGAAACCTCAAAAGATTCAAATTGCTTTCAAATTACCATGAAAAATGTTTCTCTATGGTCTTGTTTTGATAGTTAATAGATTTTGTCAAAACTATAAAATCATGTATGGTAAAGCGCAGTTTGCGATGACATATTTAAACTTCTAATCAGTGGATTAAGTAATTTTTGCGAACCAAAGACGGACGTGCAAAAAAATTAAATATTGATAATTGCCCTCGTATTAATACTTCTTATTTGTTTTGTGTTTATACACACATACTATGTAGATTACCAATTTTTTAAAATAGCTTCCAATTATTTTTAAATGCAAAGCAATTGCCCAGAAAAATAGGATCCTAATTCCCTAGACTACTGGAAATAAATATAAGAACAAAAATGAGAGGCCTCGTTGTGTTCTCAAACTTTGTTCCTAAAGTTGTGAGAAATAATTTATATAATAGTTTTTGTCCTTTTAGAGTATATCCATTGTATAATTTCCTTCTCGATTATTAATTGAGAACATAGATTTTAATTAAAATACAAATTTTTTCGTCACCTATCAGTCAAATTCATATTTTTTCTTAGGAAAAGGGTAACTTTGTTTCCAAAAACACATTCCATAACAATAAGCTGGTGCTGATTTTTTTTACGTAAAAGTAAAAGTGTATTTTATCCTATAAAATTAATTTTTTACTTAAAAAAATTGTCATTAATTGATACTCTCTTGTCGTCAGTGAGCCAAAAACTCCCCCTTCTTTGATAACTTATATTAAATTCAGTTGCAAGATTCGAACCTGAATTGTTCCCAATTTTGTTACAAAAATATTTTGTTCCAGAAAGGAGGTTTTGAAATTGATCTGATAATAAAAATTTATGTTATGACACTTTCTGAATTTTACGGCGTGTACACTTTGGACATAGGTTGTAAAAGATGAAATGTATGAACGTAACAGTCACTCTAATTATATTTTCTAATACTGGCACTTATGTTTACAAAATAATCAATGAATTTTAGTTTAACTTATCCTTAATAGTATAGTAAAAGAATTGCATCAACAATATATTTAATAAAATTACATTTTAGTATAAAAATTAATTTGTCAATGTATATAGTAGCAATTTGTAGTAATCAACACTTCAATTTAAAAAATCCTGTTTTAAAAGACATATTTCCATGTATCATTTCCAATTAAATGATGATTTTCTCTAAATGCTGTAGTTGTTTTTTTTAAAGTCTAATTTTGTAAAAATACCGATTTATGTTAAGCTTTGGAAAAGCAAAATACATATTATACATGTGTCCTTCTCATATCTGTTCAACGTCATAATTTAGCTTTACCCTTTATTTAACTTCAAATATACAGTTATAGTGCGTTTGATTTAAGCTGAGCTTTGCATTTGTGTGAGTGCACACGGATAGTGTAGGTGTGATGTCAAATTTTTGAATGCCACGTTCTTTTCTAGTTCTTAACCGGTTTATTCTGCTTTTACTTCGCCCCGCAACTTCCTCACTTCACCCTTTGTACTGGTAGCCACTTCAAATGTTAAAAACACAATTTAACAACAAAATTTCACAACTAGTGAAGAAAAATTTGTATTTTTTTTCAAAAATTTTATTACTTAATAATTTGTTTTCCATAATATTTCCATTTAGCCTTCTACATGTTTTGCTTATTTTATTTTTAATCTAGAATAACTCTCGCACTCATGTTATGTATCTATTTAAATATAATAAAATTTAATTCTGAATGTTTTTTTCTAACTCTACTTTTACTTTCACTCAACAAATGCAAAGCTCAGCTTAAGTCTAACGGACAATAATATGTTATGTTTTGATTATGTTACAATATGTAATACTCGAAAATTGAAGCAAAGAATTTTTAATTAATCCGCAATTCTGTTATATTTTTTTTACATTCCACCTTTTAGCATTCCCAGTATATAAAAATTACGTAGCTTCCTACATATTAAACCAGTTAATTATATAAAAGAGGCTACAAATACATCTCCTGCCATTAAAAACCTATAACAATAGGAGTTGATTGTATCCAAATTGAACGGTCAACGCAATTTCGACGAATGCTATCCCTTAATTGGAGTGATTTTCTCTACATAATATGCTTTATTTAAATTTTATCTTCATTGCAAATGTATGCTTGCAATGAAGCAACCATTTTAATTTACGAATATTATATTGCTGTGTGCATACAAAAGTAATATTATTAAATTTATTAATTTATTTTCGTTTAATATTTTAAATTCTAGAGCGATATTTTTAAGATAATGTTAAATATTTTTCAATGTATAACAATTTATATCAAAGCCTTCACTTCCAAACCGATAATTAATTAATTCTGCAGCCACAAGTATAAATGCTCCCCGATGCACATTCTATTTTATGAATGAGCCACAACTATTTATAAGTTTTATATAACATGTAGAAATACACACGTATTACAAGTGAGAAATTAACAACATACTAACAACTACTAAAAATGAGAGTTGCTTTAATTCACCACTGCTGGACTCTCTAACGTTTTATATACATTCGAATATATGTAACACACATCTTTATAAACATACTAATAATTTAAGTTAATATTAGTACATGCAGTGCTTTGACATAGTCCCTCATATTTAATATATGCATGCATATATATGCAAATTTAAAATTGAAGTAGTTTGCTTACGCTTATGATAAAACCTCATAATAATAACTTTAAAATATTTTCAACCTAGTTTACATTCAGTGGCAAAAAATAATAAACTTTTTTTTTTCAATAATATATATTTGTATTAAAAATCAAAGTAAGCTTAACCTACTATGTTCTTACTATATATAATTAGAAAAATCTTAATTTAAATAAATATTATCATACAACTTTGTGCTCTTTTCTCTTTATATTATGAAAAAACTAACGTGACATTTTTATTCAAAGGATATGCTCGCCTACAAATTCTTCTAAAGGCAGACACTGGTGACTAGATGAATAAAACCTAGCCTTTGTTTACAAAGAAAAATTTCAAAGTGAAATCAAAATGGCATACACAGATAATAAAGCACACTCTACAAAACATTTCCACTATGGAAATCAGATAATTGGATTCTAGTTTATGTATATTTACAAACTTAACATTTCTACAAACTAAATACATAGATTACATAGTTCTCATCGATAAATTTTATCATCGTGAGGTGGCAAGCTTATAAAGTAAGGGGCTGGAGGTGGAGCTGCCATATAACGTACTGAACCAGGCCCAGATTGCATTTTATGAGGTAATGTAGCTGTAGACAATGATGGCGGGGGTAAGGTCGCTGCATATCCAGGCCAAGCTGCACCCCATAATTGAGCTGCCCCAGCTCCAGGACTATTCGCTAAAGGCCCACCGCGATAAGATGTCGAAGTCATACGTAAACGTACAATGCATATAGCAACAATAAGAATAGCTATAAAAGCAACAACACCGCCTACTATCCCTATTATCAAATTATCATCATTATTGGAAGTGGCAATTCCAATAACAGGTGCTCCTTTAGGCTCCCCTGCTGCTTTTGGTCGTTCATGTGAGGGTGCCACTGACCAGATAATATCCGGCTCTGCTGACGTTTTATGCACAAGTCTTGGAGGTGATGTTGTTGAAATACTACTGGAAGAAGTAGCTGTAGTTCTCTTTCTAGAATCACATGAGAGCTCGTCGTCCCCTATTTCAACTATTAAATATCCTGATAAATGATCGGGTGAGTGACATCTCACACCTTGAATACCCACGGTAGGTAACCATCTCCTTAAAGCTCTGGCGTTACAATCACAACGTATTGGATTAGCATCTAGCCCAAACATAGACAAATCTGCACGACGATCATCAAGAGCTACCAATAATTGTGGTTGCAGTGTTGTGAGTGAACTACCGCCAACGTCGATTGTTATTTGTGATGAACGTGGTAAAGGAAACAATAGTGCTGGAGGCAAATTACTTATGGATGTATTACGGAATCGTACAGTGATTGAAGGTGATTTTAAACCTGCAAGTACCCCAGAGGAAATAGTCTTTAGTCTACTTCCTCTTAAACCCAACTCTTCAAGACGAGGATGTAATGTTGAATGTAATTGGTCTGGGCCTACATTTGTATCTTTTACTTCGACATCTAATTTTTCCATTGCCAATACATATTGTAGAGCTCCTTGAACATCGAAATAACCCAATCTTGGATAACCATATGCGCGAAGTTCTACAAGATTTGATAAGGGTCTGAAAGCATTCTTTTCTATTTTGGTACATTTTTCTAGATTTTCCATATTTAAAAATCGAAGTGATACTAGTCCTTCAAAATTACCTTCCAACACCATTATTATGGGATTATTTGAAATGTTTAACTTTTGAAGATTTTTTAATTTAGGCCAGGATATAGAAAGGGAATTAGACACATCACCGATCTGATTAAAGGAGAGATCCAAAGATTCAAGCATAGTGGTTCTTGCGAAGGTCTTTTCGGGTAATTTAGTAATATTGTTATGAGATAGATTTAATCGATATAAAAATGGCGTCTCCAATTGTTTAACATATTTTATCCCGGTCCCAGCTAGGTTTAATTCTCTTACTGTTTTTGGTTCTGTTAGAACATTATCTATTGTTTTCTCTGATAGCGGGTTGAAAGAGAGGTCAAGTTTCTTAATATTAACCATTACGCTGTCTTCTGCGGGAATATCCACGATTTCATTATGGGATAAATCTACTGATGACACAAAGAAATATTGTTTTTGCAGCGCTTTTAACGGCGCATGCTCAAATAAATTGTGACTGAGTACTATTGACTCTAGCATATGGAGCCTTGATCTGTCGAATATATTATCTGGTAGTTCATATAGAAGATTTCCTGCTAAATTCAAAAGTTCTAATCTAATGAGACCCTCGAATAATCGATCACCTAAACGATCTATTCTATTGTAAGACAAATCTAAATGCTGAATCTGTGTAGAATTATGGAAAGCCATTTCGCTTACAGATTCGAGTTCATTTCTTGCTAATAAGATCGTACGTAATTTAGGCAGACGAGCAAAATCTAATTCATCGACATTTTTCAAAACATTACCAGACAAATCTACTTTTTCCAAATATTGTAGGGTACTAATAAGTTCTGCGGGGAAGAAATTGAACTGATTATTGGCTAGTATAATTTCTCTTAATCTAGGATGAATCTTAAAAGACGATGGGAATAAGTAGCTCAGCTGATTGTCTGATACATCTAAAACCTCCAAGCTCGTGCCAGTATTAAAGAATTCACCTTTGAACGCATTCAATTGATTTCCTTTCAGAGATAAATATTGTATTGACATGACATTTACAAAGGCAGGTGTTCTTATTGTAACTATGTTATTGTACGAAAGGTCAAGATGAGTTAGGTTCTTGAGATTCTTAAAAGTACCTTCCGATATTTCTTGTAACAAATTATGTGATAAATATATGTATTCCAAATTATGTGTCTTTGAAAACAAATTAACCGGCAATGCTTTCAGTCCAACATGGCTTATATCTACAGATAGAAGTCCTTCATTATAATCGAAAAGATTCTGTGGCAACACATTAATATGTAAATTATGACTCATATTAAGGTGCGTTAGACTTTTTATAGATTGGAATGCGTTAACTGGTATCTCTGATATTTGATTTCCAGATATATCTAAAAACCAAAGGTTCACAAATTTTAAATATTCTCCAGTGAATCCTAATATTCTGTTTTGGCTGAGAGACAAAAATTCGAGCGTAGTCTCTAGACCGCTGAATACGTCTGCTGTTATCGAATTTAAGAGATTTCCAGATAGATCTAAATGACGTATATATTTAAAATGTTCGAAAGCAGCCGGTGGCAATTCTCTGATAACGTTTCTCGATAGAACCAACGAATTTATGCCCTCGGAGACTGCCCGTAAAATGTCGGTAGAGAGCGCTGTTACTCTATTAAATCCTAAATGAATAGACGTCAGACTAGGCAATCGAGACAATGCAGCTGCAGGAATAAGTAAAATGTTATTGTCTCTCAATAACAATGTTTCTAAACTAGTAAGGCCATCGAATGCATCGTCCTCCACCTGAAATATGATTAATAGAAATTGTTACATACATTATTACTTCATTAAATATTTCAGTATATACTTTTCTATTTACGGAATCTAGTTTACAATATACTTACAGTACGTAAAGAATTCACGCCAATATCAAGATATTTCAATTCCGTTAACCCAACGAAAGTTCCTGGTGAGAGTTTAACTAAATTGTTTCTACTCAGATCCAGAACTACCAACGCTGACAGAGCATTAAGATGACTGTGATCCATGTTCTGCAAATAATAATTATAAAATAAGTACAATTTGTAACACATTTAACAAAAGTTTAATTATTATCGAGCTTTACAAAATAGAAGTATATACTCTAAAGTAAATTTCAATATTTTTAAAGACCTTTAAACAGACATTTAATTATTAATGATATTTTTAATTAAATATAATGATATATTAGATATAGTTTATTAAAAGTGTATAATTTAATCAATTTAATAAGTTTAACTTAATAACTTAACTAATTTATATTTACCGTTATCATGTTGCTAGACATGTTTAAATGTTTTAAACCAGCGAACACTTTAAGTGCAACTGTCGGAAAATCGGCTATAAAGTTTTCTGATAAATCCAATTTCTCCAAGTTCTCAATTCCTTGAAATACGTCACTGTTGAACTTGGACAGTCTGTTCCGTCCAAGATCCAGACTCTCTAAACCTTTCAAGCCTATAAATGCTCCCCCTTCGATTGTAGATATCATATTCCCATGCAAATCTATTTCTTGTAACGACTTTTGAGATATGAAAGTTGCTTGTCGTATTATGCCTAAAATGAAATAAATTATTTATTAAAATCAATATCAAATCAACAATATTAAGGTTAATACTATATTTCACGAAATTAATCGTTATCTGGTATAAGTAAATTAATTAAGTAACAAATAATTAGTATTCTAAATGGAAAAATAACTTACCTATTCTATTTTCTCTGAGCGAAAGAACTTTTAATGACTGCGGCCCGTTGAGAGAAGAGGATGGGACGAAATTCATATTGTTACGGTCCAGGCGTAAAACCTAAAAGAATTTTATATTATAAATTCAATTTTAAAACAATATTTTAGAAATAAAAAGGTAATGTTTATGTTTTTCTTTGAGGGCATCATATAGTAATTTTAATATACTGCGGATTATATGAATAAAATTGTTTAGTTGTCCTTTTTTTATTTAATCATTCATCATTCTTTAAAAGTTTATTCTTTATTGAAATTTTATTTTTAAAATGATAAAATCTTAATACCTTCAGCACATCGCAACCAATTAAGAGACCTTCTTCAAGGCCTCTTATATTATTTCCGCTTAGATCCAATTCTTCCAACGCTGGAAGATTGTGAAACTCGGCGGTCGAGAAGATTGGATTCAAATTGTCACCGAGGAGATTATCTTCTAAAACTACTTTGGTAATATTGCCTTTGATCCCCGCTAACAAACGGTCAGGCAATCGACGGAGACTGTTATGAGAAAAGTCCAGCTCTTTTAACGGGAGACCGTATGATGAGAAAATCTGCAAAAATATGTTACAATATTAACTTTTATAATTATAAGAAAAATTTCTCCTCTTGATTTTAGCATGATTCAAGAATATTATTATAAATCCTATATTTTTTTTATGACAGACATTTGATACTTTCAAAGCAAAAGTCCTATTTTTGTTATTTATGAAAACAAAAGCAGCAAACACCTATGTCTAATTTTTTTTATCCAAATATATATGTATACTTAGTTTTAATTAATTTGAATTTATACATTTAGCTTTTTACAATTTTTATAAAAAAATTAAGGCAATGTGCGTTGAAAGCCAAATTATTCGCCATAAGTTTTGTTAATGTAGCTATAAACAACAGTATTTTTTAAATTTAATACGCATCTGATAAAAGCGATCACCATAAAATTACGTAAAACCCTGTTTCCCAATATTCGATAAACGTATAAACCTCAAATCTATCTGTCGTTTATATAACACCTGAACGAACGATTCCACTTCGATGCACGTAATACGTCCCCAATACGAATGGGCGTATGGAAACGAAATAGGATATGAAAATTTTATAATACAAAAGAGCCGTACCCATTACGAGTAAATGTAAAACCAATTGTTTAACATTTAACTTACTATAATTTTACAATTTAAATAGTATGCCACTAGAGATTTTGATACCAGTTAATGGATTAATGATTATTTAATTTCTAACTTGAGACTTCATATTAAATAAGAATTATGATTGAAGTAACCCAGGCCAGTTAATAAAAAAAAAACAATAATACATATTCAGAGTGTTCAAATTGTCAGTCAAAAATACATATAAAGTTACATGCAAGTGTTAACTAACTATATCATAATTTATGGTTGCTAACAATTTAAACCTAAAATTGATTTACCATCGACATTAATAACATTAACATATTTATATAACACCACTCGTGACGGGCCATATTTATTATTAAAACACATTTATTACATGTATTAATATTGTTGAAATAACTCATCGACGGGTTCCGTATATACGAGACGAAACGACACCGATGTTCTGTGGTAATTAGATCATGAATCGCGTGACATCTATGATAGAAATCTGATCACCGTTTCAGCGGATATTTCTTAATTGTCAGTAGCGAAACCGTCAGTGCTACACGGAAGAAAGAGGAGGCTATGTAATAAATATAAGATTTTTCACAAAATAATTTCTTATTTACGGGACTTCTTTTCGTCAACACAGAGTTTAATTTATCAAAATATAATTTCTATCGTAATTCACTAATTAATAGGTAAATAAAAATTGCCTCCAATCATTTTTGTGTTTAGAGGAAATCGTTGAAGTCACAGCGGATACAATCCAATTTGGCTCAGAATGCGTAGTCAATGAGCTGAAAGTTGAGCTAATTATCATTCAGTAGTTTCTACTTTAGTGAACAAACCTGTGTTGGTAACGACTGTTGTCCAGCCCATCGCTGACTGAACGAAACTATGGGAGCGCCATAGGGAAGTGGTGGAAAGTCACCCGCGAATACCACGTGGTCACAGTTCATCAAAATTCGTAATTGCAAGGCTCTGTCAACTTGAACTCTGCATCGACAAGGGTACCGAAGGTCATCGTTCAATTCTGAACACGGCACCCATGGCTGCTGACTGATGACGTACGGCGTGAAGAGTAATAGAAGTAACCACATTGTGACCTAGAAGAAAAAATAAATACTATTAGCACTGATTCTCAACAAACTCATTATATTGCTGAAACATATTAATTTTATAGTTTGAATTATAATTTATGTAATATTTTACTCCTTGAACATAACAAGGAGTATGTCTGTAATATATAAAATTGGATGTTAACTTTTACGCATTTTAATAACAACAAAATCTTATGGATATATCAATTTGCATTTTATTGTACGAAATTGCTATACTTATACGCTTTATGGGCCTTTGATGTCTTATCAAAGCAATTCAAACGAAATTCTACAAATCCTCAGTCAAAGGCAATTTATTCAAATTGATGAATAATATAATATTGTATTCATTTGTTGATTATAAAAATATTGGCAAGGGAATTACTTAAATTATGTCATTGGGGGCCAGACAGGTAATTATGTTTTTAATTGTATTGTTTATAAATTACTATCAATAATTACTTTTTAATTGTTTTCACTTAAAGCATTGCACATGTTGCTATCTCATTAAATAAAATGTATTAGTGAGAAGCTTAAACTAAATAAAGTTATGTAAAATACAGTGAAACATTTATCTGTGTCTTAAAAATAGCTTTTCGGGTATTTTATTAGTTATTAAGTGAAATACATTTAACGACAAATTTAAAATTATTAATTCATTTCAAAAAAATATAAACTTTAAATGTCGGTGTAATTTTTAAAAGGAATGAAGTATTTGTATCACGTTCCACTGATCGAAATGAAATTAATTCAATGTCAATTACAAATGAATACTTTTATAAATAACATAGGTATTTATTTAAAATGTAAGAGTCTTTTCGATAACACTCTTTGGTGAAACAAAAATTAAATTTATATTTTTACATATTACTTAATGGAAATTATATATTTTTTAAATAACTTGATTTTTTTTTTGTATTCGACTAAAATAAGTTATTTAATGAAAATTCTTTAAATTATTCAGTATTTTAAATAATTGACAACTGAACTTAAGATTATATGAATAATATAGAAATAACGGGAAATTCTGTAATGAAAATTCTTTTAAACTTCTAAGGCAAAATATTAAATGTTGAATTCAACGCTTTGTGTAGTTTAATAGACATATCTCCCATGTGGCAAAAGATTTCAAATAAAAATTTAGACTTTGTTGTATAAATTAACACTTATATAGGAAGATATAAACCAAAATTTTAGCTATTTACTATCTTTATCTTGGAAACTCGGAAACTTTTTTCCTTGAATCCAATTACCTATCGCAATTTGTGTTTAGAGATTTTTTTTCGAACGTATTATAAGAAAACAAGAAAAATATTTTTAAAGAGGTAATATATAGAATAGTAGTCGTTTTCAATCTTTTATTCAGTTTCGATTTGTCGTACCAATCTGATGCTTCTAAATAAAACAATGACCCCGTTCCTAACTTTGTAGACAAATAATATCAAACATATTGCGAAGTAGCTCAGTTGTTAGGCATTTGTTTGCGAAGTTAGCACTCCTTGGCATTTACGATATTGGATATTGCCTTATCATTAGGAAATAAAGTTTACAACACATAAGTAGGTTTCTAAGGAATGTAATGACGTATAATAGAAAAATACAGGCTTAAGACTAGTAAACCGATTGTAATACATATGACATAAAGCCCAAATTTACTTTTCTGTTATCCTTAATGGGAGTCAACTTTAAGACCACCTCTAATACCATCTGTTCAGTTTCTAAAAATACAAAAATCAGATGAAGAAATTCATGAAAAAAGATATGTCAATGATATCAGTAAATTAAGACAAGAAAAAACTTATATTAGAGCATGTAGTATTGAGATTAGTTATCAGTATAATGTCATTATATAAGAGAAAAATTACAGAAAGTCTTCAATGTAAAATATCTGCTTATTATTTTACTTTCTCAAAATATAACAACGCAAATTATTCTGGATATTACAAAAGACCTAGGGGAATATTTTTCTGGGAACTAACAATAACAGTAAATATTATTTTCAGTAGCTAGTTCAGAAATTTTCAAATTTGTTCAAGAAATACTACATCCCAAAACAATATAGCCCGTCTTTTGTATCTAGGCTCTTTTAATAAAGTTAGAAATATACGAATATCTCTGTAACTTTTTCATATATTTTTGTACGACGATATATTTTTTAACTAAATTTCTTTCTCAGTAAATTTCAATTGTAACATATTTTGATCAGAAATACAATATTTGAAGCTACGTATAAATTTCTATGAACTCACATACACCTAATTTGTTGTGAATTCCCTACATGTTATTGCCTGTCGTTCGTGGGCACAAACCGTTGGTTTTTCCACACGGTAAGCGCGACATTTATGTTGTAAATCATAAATTTCCACCTGCTCTTCCCAAAATTTTATTTCATTTTTGTTCGTATTCACATAACAGATTTTTCAATATTAAAATTCATAATTACAACACTTTGTATAACGTATCTACAAATATTTTATCAAAAGCTTTAAAGAAAATAGAATAATGTGTATTAAATGTTTTCTTTTTACCATATTTATAAATATTTTATGCATTTATATTATATTCAATTAGAGAATAATAAAACAACCCTTCTAGAAAACTATAAAATAAACTCTTCAAAAACATCTCACTAATAGAAAGCAGCTGCTTGGGGATGAAATTCTTTACCTTGATATTACCTACTCTTTATTCAAGAGAACTTTTAAACAAATATGTAATATAAAATCATTAATTTACTAAATGAATAATAATAAAAAATACGGTATTGAAGGAATTTAAACCATATATTTGTATTATTGCTTATCTAGTTTTTAATAAAAGTGTTTTAAAAAATAACTCAAACATTCGCTTTCTTAAATATCATTCTATTATTTTCATAAGTGGCCAAGGTAAGACAGGAATAAAAAATTACCAAATGTCATACGTGCCACTACGGCTTTCTTTTTGGGATGGGATTTGCGAAGAAGTCAATAGAAACAAATATTTGTACCGTCATCAAAATAGAAGATGATGAAGAGTTCTGTAATCCCTATGTGTACTAAGTAATTACATCTTAAATCCAAATCTATAAAACATTAACTAAGACCGATTAATTTGATTCAATCCGAAACATTTTAAGAATATTTTAATTAAAACAAACGAATACACAAGCAGACTCTCATATTTCTTTCATATATCGTCTCCGTTTCATTATCAGAGTAATTCATAACAAAATTTCAAATACATACTTAAGTTTCCTTACAAACTGGAGAAAAAAGAAAAAGACATATTGAATCAATGTTAAGGTTTTGCTGTTTAAATGTATATAATTATTAAGAAATAACTAAAACAACTGTTACTGTGGAAGTGGTCAATTCTTACCATTCGTATTTTGTAATGTAAATCGTGGAGGCGATTTTATATATGAAGATAAATACATATAAACGAAAAACCTTCAAACTATCTGTTTTCACGACGATGCACTCATGGTAGGCATACAGATCTCAGTTCCTCCAAAATATATATCCGCGGTAAACGTGATCTGTTTAATTATCAACATACTAATGAGATGTAACGAACCGACCTATGCCTGTTAAACATCCCTTTATATATTATCTATTGAATAGATAAATATACATCATCAAGTATGACTTCAAAGCCTATGATTTTATATATATTTGTTTTGCAATATTTGCTGATGATACCTGTAATGATTCCGCATATAAGGCCTGAAATTATCCAAGGCATTTTTTATCATGAAAAATATTAAAATTCTATTAAATTGAAAAATTAACATTACATTAAAATATCAAATGATACTTTTCATCAAGATGTAATAAAATAATAAACAATTGTTTCAGAATTTCTTTGCTTAACATAATTATTCCTTTATTTGCAATATTATTAAAGTATAACAAGAAAGAAAGGTTGTACTTTTATGTATTTCTTTTTAAATATAATTAAATGTAAATACATTAAAGATGATATTGCGCTGTTTTTTAATTGAATAAACGGATTTTATGTAAGCAGATGAAAGCAAAATAATCGTTTATTGCAGCACTCAAAGATATTATGTACAAAAAGTTAATGTTACAAACGTAACGAAACACTGTATTGTTTGAGTGAAATGATTTCCATAATAAATTAATTAATTTAAAAAATACAACAGAAAGTATTCCGAAATATTTGATTACGTGCTATTGAATATAAAAATGGCTATTAAATATTTTCAATCTTAAAAAGTTTGTATTCATATTTTAAGCGACATATATTTTAATAAAATTTTCCATTTTACATACATACATATTACATTTTTGCACAGAAAACTGTTTCCTGATAAAAATATAACATTAGCCATTTAGATAACACAGCTGAGGTAGAAACAAATTAAACTCGGAACACTTGCGGCCTGGCGAGTACAAAGTTTTTGTCGTTAGCGCTCACTATAACCGTTTTGCAGACATTAAACGTTTAAATAAATGTATGACTTTTATCTCCACTGTTAAACAAAGCTGCTGGGAAACATATGTTTTAACTTTTAATATTATGGCTGATGATTTAGAAAAACCACTGGAGGTTTTATAATCGGTTGCCGATTTAAAGATTTCACAATCACTTTTTATGAATTATTGATTTAATTACAGTTTAGCTGATCAACATATTTATATAAAAATGAAGAAAAAACTGTATTTCCAATTGTGTATATAAAGTATTCTGCTTATATACTACATATTACATGCACAATTTATCCATAAACAAATGGAAAATTTATAGATAGCTGAATATAGGATTCAGTGCTGCATTGACCGATATTGTGCAACTTACCCGTAAAATTGTTCATCTCATTTACTTCCAATTTTCCACATTGTCTCCCGCATATCCTTTATAGCATTCAGCTCGATAAAACTGACGTCGGAAACCAAAGAGGTAGAATTTATGAAACTTAAATCCTTTATCTGATTGTTTTTTATTTGTCTATACGAAGAATTATACACAAATTTATTGAAACCATTAAAGGGCTT